GAATACCTCGATGTTTATGTGACAAATTGGCATAAAATATCGATTTTATACTAACTTTTAATCTATTTTAACGGGAAATTTACATATAATTATAAAATCGGGAAAATGTGTCCCTAAATTAGTTGTAAAGGAGACGATCGCTTCAGTGATCAGTACTTGAGTATAGAGTTTGTAATTTTGAAAATAGATTCGAGAAGAGTGAGGCTCTGGTTGTGTCATATATGGTATCTATAGTTTTGGTACGGCTTTGCGATCTAAATATAGACTACCGTTTGCTCCCTTTCCCACTCATTTAGGGACACATTTTCCCGATTTTATAATTATATGTAAATTTCCCGTTAAAATAGATTAAAAGTTAGTATAAAATCGATATTTTATGCCAATTTGTCACATAAACCGAGGTGTACATCGATGGTATTCAATGTGTGAAGTCCTAATTAAATGCCTGACTTTAGAAAATTATTTTTTTGTGTACTTTTATTGTCACAAATTTTTCGGACAATTGTTTTGACAGTAAATTCTGAGTCCCCGAGAGAACCAGTAATTGTAATTTCAAGTGTTATTTGACTTAAAGGTAATAAAGTTTGAGGAATTTAACGATTTGTTAATTTAGTATATTTTCTTAAAAAAGTTGTTTTCCCTCTTTCTTTCTCCGAGATATATATCTCACTCTAATTCAGGGCTCATATAATAGTGTGAAATGTGTTTTTGTCAATAGATGTGCACTTTTGCTACAATTGATTGTCGTAAATAAAAGTCCATTACTGGACAGTGGAGAGAGAGAGAGAGAGAGAGAGAGAGAGATGTCTAACTGTGGAGGAGCTCTCTCCTAATAGGTAGTGCCGGACCCGTACCGGAACCTACCCTTTAGGCAAAGACTTTTTGTATAGACATAGAAACAGAACGAGAGTGTGATTGATGTGATTTGAGGGCCAATCGATAACAAGGCTTTGAAACGAACCGAAACTTCAATTCATTGCCAATTCATAGACCAAAACATAAACCGCTCTTAAAATTAAAGCAAAAATTACTTCACTTTTGGCGAAAACATTGTCCCAAAAACACAACCATTCAATCACCAGAAATTGTCGATCAGTTTTTCATTATTTCTTATAGTTTTCTAATTTTGAAAATATATTTGAATTCAACATATTTTTCCCTCAAAACAATTACCATTTGTTGAGAAATAATTGTAAACGAAATCGACTTTTATTTTCTAATTTAAAAGAAAAAGCACTTCTTTTTTAAGTTTGTTTTTATCTGAGAAAACTTTTTTATTAATTTCTCGTGAATATAAAGTGAAGTAATTATGATTGCAATTAATTATATCATATATTGTGATAAATTCATGTTTAAAAGCGATTAACGCTTTTCATTGACTGACAAAACAAGCGCTGACAAACTTTTAATACGTCCGCAAAAATACAATTTATAAACAATTTTCACATAATTTTTATGATATTAATTGAGATTATTCTTCGCATAACGATTGAGATTAATGTAAAAACTAATCGTGAAAAACTTTTAACAGTACATTAAAAGAGTCATTTGATTGCAGTTTTATATTCAAACTCATGTGAATCGGAAAAATATAATTTCAATGTAAAAACTAATATTTATTTTTATTAATCAAATAATAATTGCATTTGATTTTAGTTCGCATTATGTCTAACGATTTTATAAGATTTTATAATCCTATTTGAAATCAATTAAAGGTTTTATTTAATCGCATAACAAAATAGCAACAAAAATGTAATGATTGGTAAATGATTGGTTCAAATAATCTGCTTTTATGTTTGATGTGAGAATAATTTAGTCGAAGGATTGAATGGATTGAAATTTTCCGGAGAAGTGCTTAATGTTTTAGCCGTAATCATAGCTATGAGATTGTGTGCCTGTGTTGTGAGTGCAGTGTTGGTGTCCCAACGTATGGATGGGAAAGGGGGTCAAACCGATGTCTAAATCGAGATCATGGAAAGAAGTGCCTCTTTTCGCTGGTCTGGTTATAATGGATTGGATGGTTAGAGCTGTGCTTTAGAGGTATGGCTCTGGTATGGTATGGGTTGGGAACGCAGGCGCGAAGATGTAATAAGTTGTAGCAGATTTGCGAGAGTGTTAGTCATGGGATGATAGGATACCGCAAATGCTAAGCCCAACTACAAACAGATCGGGAGTAGAGTTGTGTATAATGTAAACAAGTAGTGACTCTCTTCTCTCTATCACATCTCCTATCGCTCTCTCGCTCTCACTCTTCAAATATATTCTCTCATCGATTCTTGTGATAAACTCAGCGATACTTTTCATTTTATTCGTCAAATGTTTTGCAATGTTTGTCAAAGCATTCAATATTCATAGCAGTAATCGTCACAATAATGACTGTTTGCCAATCAATGATCGCGTCGACGACCACTGCTATCATCACCACTACTGCAAGTCCTCCGCAGCCGACAACTATCACCGCATTATCCGCCGCAACGGTTGTTGTGTTGACACAACACTACTCTCCCGTTACTTATTAGGTGTAAATTTGTTAAACACTCGCTATTGTGCTATTGTTTGCCACGAGTTGTGCCGCAACTATCCTAACGGTGACCGAAAAGTTTGCACAAGTAGTTTACTGACGAGCGATTGCCGTACCGGCAGTTGTAATGAGTTGTTTAGCGATAGAGTTGTTGCCAAACAAATATTAGTTCATAGATTAGCGACACAATCACTTGTGATATAAATGTAATTTTTAAATAAGTATTAAAACAAATGAACGCCTTTTTTAGACAAACATTATGTTGAATACGAGTCATTCAATTCACTCAAACTATTCAAACGTTTCGCAAACATTTCAGAGTTGGTCTTATAATTTGAGCCATCATTTACTCAACAGTATATTGTTAGTGATCGCCGGCGCTCTCATCGCATCGGAACTCACGTACCTATCAATAGGAATGGCCGGCATATATACCAGTGCTCTAAACGCTCATCATTTGCTTGACTCTGACGACCAAATGAGTTCCAATGGGAACCCATTGCAGTCCAATGCAAACGCCAGACCCAACCCGACTCCCAACCAGTGTCCGGAAGGGCCGCACCGGCAGTGGGGCGCAGACCTGGACGCAGCCTCTAAGGCATACTTAGCGCCGATCGTGTTTAGCGGCAAATTGATCTCAATCTCCGAGGACTACGGCGGACGCATTGGCGCCACATTTCACGTCAAAAAGTTAATCAAAAACCAAAGTTCATTGTCCGCACATCTGGTGCTCTCCAGTCACGTGACCCTCTATTTTGTCCGAAACAAACTCTTACGGCCCGAACCGCCCTATTGTGCCATCTTTTTAGACGATCATATCATTAGTACTCTGAGACCACAGGAGAAGTACATTATCTTCGCGTCTCCGCCCTTCACATTGTTTAGCAATTCTGTCCATCACTTCCCAGCCATTGCCCGCACATCTAATCCGCACCAATCCGTGCGACCGAACAGTGCTAACGGTGTGACCGCCGGTGCCATCGCTGGCCACTCGCCCTCCACTCACACCACGACTCACACGACAATCAATTTAAGTGCATTCGTCGCTCCAGAGCCTCATAATAAACGCTCGGCGCGTCTCGTCCGCAAAGTGTTGTGTCCTCGTTGTGGTAAGTATTACATACATGTTATATCACTTTCAGTGCCCAACACTACCCCTCCCTCTTCTACCCCTCTATTACTCACTACACTATCCGACTCTACTCTACACTTCATTCTGACTAAAAATAAAGAGCAATAAGAGAGTAGTGAATGAATGGCAGACTTAATGCCAGCGCTTATGCAATGCAATGAGGAGTCAATGAGTGCTTCACAACACTTAACACTCTGTCTAACAGTTTCTTAACGTTTTAGTCGGAGTCGAGAGAAGAGGTGAAAGTCTCTCATAAATAGAACCCAAAGAACCCAATGATCACTGAATTCACTTCTCATCACTATATATATAAACCCCACTAAACACTACTCCCTCTCCGCCCTAACCCTCACTCACTCTATCACTCCATCCACACTCCACACCGTCTCTCCTCTCCCCCACTCTCCCCGCATCTCTCCCTCTCTCACCCGCTCTCTCACTCACTTACGCCACTCACTATCTAATCAGTAAAACTAATTACATATCGCACTTCAATTCATTGACGCTCTCATTGAACTTATTGTTAAATTTAATTAGAAGTTTTTGAAACAACAAAATGAATGCACTGTTGAATGCAATTAAATTTATGGCTAGTATTGCATTGAATGTCAATTAAGTTGTTGTGTGTGTTTTGGCGATTGTTTGGATGAGTTAATTGAGATGTGAGTGTAAGCACTGGGGATGAAGGGATCGGTAGTCTATACTGTATTCGGTATTCTCTTTGCCACAACACAAGAGCACAATATTTATGAGTAAAAATAAATTATTGTATAACATGTTGACTCAGCTGCCAGTGCTCTCTATGATCCCGAGTGCTCCCCGTGCTCTCTCTCTCTCTCTCTCTCTCTCTCTCTCTCTCTCTCTCGATGCCTTTACTTTGATTCACTATTAAAAATAATAATCAGTGCTTTTATACGTAGAGTACTGTATATATAAGACAAATGTATTTTTGTCTTAAAACTTTTTGGTGAAAAAAAGCAATCTTTCATTTTGTATGATATTCTTATGATTCATGCGATAAAAGTCTAATTATTTATAAGATATACGATATATATATTCAAAGCCATTAATTTCGGAAACGCTTTGTCGCGGATCTGAACTTTTCTTTCTCCTCAAAAGCCTTTCACAGTTTTTTTTATTATTCTTCATGCGATTGAGTCGATGACTGCAAACCTATAGTTAAATAATAAGTGAATGAAAATAATAATATTTAGCATTTTTTGTTGCAATACTAAAAAGTTAAGAATAGAGTGAATACAGGTAGGGATAGGTAAGGATAGGTAGTGGCCTATTGTTAGCAGATATTGTTGAGGTGTGTTGTGTTGTGTATATACCGCACAGAGAAATACTGGTGAGGATGTGTTGGGCTCTGTGTGTATATACACCGCAGCACTGGTTGCTTATATTGGTTGTGTTGGTTGTGTGCAAAAGTAATTTATCAGTTGCTTTATTCTGCAATTCTGGTTGCATTTTGAGAGCTCAGGCAATACAACAGGCCATTGAAGGCATGCCAGGCCATAGACACACATACAGGCCATTGAGGTAAAACTCGGTGAAGGATGTAAATGGCACATAAACTATTGCATACTTATGTACTGTTGTACTGGTGGAGGGACTATGGTAGAACTGAATTTTCCCATGACTATCTGTGTGGCCTGACCTCGCAATGCAAGCAATCCAACTATTGCTGTTTTTAACGCCTTAGTCCACATCTCATCGGCAATGGACTCACATACAGATATGTCTTAATTTAGTGCCTCTCCATCCCCTCCACTCCCCCTCCGCTCTCTCCATACCCACCGCCGCCGCCATTAACATAACAAACCCCTGGCCTAAAGGGGGGTCCGAAGTGGTCCCCCATTTAGCGAAACAACAATTGACAGAAGGCCTGCCCTTTTGGTTCACAGCCCACGAGAGCCTCGCAAACGCCAACAATTCACTCTTAAATCACTGCTTTTTGTGTACTTTTAACTTATTTTTATATATATTTTTTGTCGTTAACTTATAAATTGCGAAATTGATTACAAATTAGACACTTATTTGACACAACACTCTCTCCTCTATCACTGGCCAACCATAACAGTGCCATTCATTTGCATATTCATTGCAATCCATATTAAAAGCTAATAATACGGCTCTCCATTCAAAGTGCTTTCAATCGCTTATTTGACAATTGCTTTGAAATCTATTTTAAAGTGCTTTTCGAGCCTTTATTGAAGAGTGCCTTCCATTGAAAGAACTGATTCCATAATTCCTTTCATAAATACATTCAGATTAGAGTCAATGAAATCATATTTTCAATAATCATTTCAATACGAAATCTTCTTAAAACACTTATTAATCGACGAAACACTTGTTTTTTAATGTAATTTATTGGGCAATAAATTAATGCTAAAAACACGGATTCAGTTGTTATACGGGTTATCATAACAACTAAATAAATGTGAATCCAAATGATTTAAAAATTTCAAATTAAATTAAAAACGTTAATGTGTTATAAAATAATATAAATTTAATTCATTTAATGCAATCATTGTGTTCACTATTTATGAGATTATAAATTATATATGAATTATGAAATGGGATTTTGCACAGCATTTTATCCCAAAATTAATTGGATTATAAGTTCAATAATGCATTCATGATTTTACTTAATTAATATTTAAGATATTCCTGTTTTGAATCAAATTAATATTTGTATATAAATTAATAAATAAAACGATAGGTATATTAGGTTAGGTTTTTGCAGTACTTTTAACGGTTCACTTTATTTGTTTGACATAAAAATCTCACTTAAATATGAGTTATTTATCACTCTTCGCACTCTTAACAGAATATTTCACTTTTTAAAAATGCATGGCTTTTGTGGCCCAGAATTTAGAGAAAATAAAAATGACATTCTCTCTCTCTCTCTCTCTCTCTCTCTCTCTCTCTCTCTTTCACCAATAATTCTTTTGGTGACACTGTTTTCACTATTTTTCTCTCTATTTATAAATTTTTGCTTTTATTCTCTGTATTCTAAAGCGAAGATTCCTATTGTTGTTGGACTTAATGGGGATGTAGGCGTCCCGACAAAAGGCAATCTCAGATTAGGGTGCAAAGTGTCCGGCAATCCATTACCACGGGTTGAATGGTTTAGAAATGGAAAGAGACTTAAGAACAGAGGAAGAGTTGCCATCACTACTCGTCGGTAAGTAAAGAATCGACTCAATTGGGAAACAAAAAGTCCCACAAAAATCTAGAGCCCGGAGACTAACGAGTGAATGAAACGCACAGTTAGTGTACAATACTTTGCAGTACTGTATATACACTGTATGTGTGTGTTGTCTGTGAACTCAAACCTTATAACTTTAGTTATATAAATAAATCTCATTCAACGCTAACACCGAAATGCTTTACTGTTAAGCTTTAATCTCTTGAAACCTTTTAAAATATTAGAGAAAATATAATTTTCTGACATTTATTGAGAATTAGGAATCAGTGCTAACTTTTATAACATTAATAGTAATGAATGATTTTTGAAAACCATTTCTATTGCAAGAAATTAGGAAAACATTGTTCAGAGACAATACATGTACACAAATTGTCTGTGCCTTCAATAAGACGTTAGACACAAACAAAATATATTTATTGAAACAAAGTTTTGTTTAAAATAATAATTCAGTTGTAGTTCTCTTGCGGTGAGAAAAGCAAAACAAAAACCTTTATTTGAAAAACCAATTGAGGCCTCAATTCAAAAGAGATGCCGAATTTTTCACTGGAATTAACTCAAAGTTTTTATATAATTTATAAAATAAACTTTTCAAACGATTTCTGCAAATAATACACAATTTCCTATTGAGGTTTTGATATTATGTAAGATTTTATTAGAGAATACATATATATCTCCCAAATGTAAGTAAGAGTTAAAAGACTTGTCAAAACGGTAGTCAAAAATAGCGCAAAAAGTTTTCGTTTATTTTTAGACTTTAAAATTGTCTAAAACTCTAAAAACTAATGAATATTTTATTGAATAAAACTTTTTTCTTTGCTTTTTCAGACAAACGTCTCGACTGGAGATTAGACGAGTCTCGCACTTAACTGATAGCGGATTATATGAATGCCGGGCCAGGAATGTGGTCACTCGGCAGCCGACAGTGGCCAAGAAACGGGTCCGCATAACCAATCAGTCCAAACGCAAACCCCACTCATCGTCGCCGTCGTCCACATCGACTCGAGGCCCGCTCTGGCCTCAGGTGCGCCCCTGTCCTATACCGTCCTTCTGTCTCAATGGCGGCACATGTACTCTGTATGAGGCCGTCGGGGAATATGTCTGTCAGTAAGTGTCACCCATTTCTCTCATTCAACGCACATCCCATTCCCCGCATCCCTCCAAACGAAACTCTCATTACATCTTAACTCTCTATTCTTATCTACAACTCTATGTTTAGCATCAATGAGTCTCACTGTCTGTTTCCCTCTCTTTTTTAAACATCACTTTTTTGAGTTCGCATTTTATGCATCTCTTGAGACATCACTTCTCCTAATTATATATCAAACTATAATTTCCATGAATTCAGTGAAAAAAGTTAGAAAATTTCAGTCGAGAGAGAGAGAGAGAGAGAGAGAGAGAGAGAGAGAGAGAATATTCTATAAATACACATTTAAAACTTCACTCCATTTATTTAAATGTATTATAAAACAAATTGTGTGCATATAATTTCCATGATGGTAATTTGTTGAATTGTTTGTTGTATTTTAGGTGCGCCGAGGGTTATATGGGCCAGAGATGTGAGAGTAAGGACATCTACTTAAAACTAACCGTAACTTTTGATCGAATTCATTACAATTAATTCTTTACTATTCTTTATAATATAAATATATATAAAACTATAATATTCTCGACAAAAAAATCAAATGTAAACTTGAGTTCCGTTTTTCTATTATTTATTATTAATTTGTTTTTAATTGATTAATACAGTTGTAATGAAATTAAGTTTTTGATTATTAAATAAAAAACAAACCAAATAAATACATTTTTTGAATAACAATTCTATGTCAGCTTTTGGCCCGATCATGATTAAATACCCGGATTAGTTTTGAGATCATTTTGATTATTTTATTTAGGAGTTTATCAAAATTATAGTTATTGATATTTTTATTACTATATGAATTTTATTAAATTTTTAATTTGCCATTTAATTTAATGGCAATTAATTTAATTTACCATGATTTTTAACAACTACTTTAATCGAAGCTTAAAAGCTTTATATTAAACAAAATATTAATACAATTGACGATCTTATAATAATTTATTATTAATAAAGAATAGCTTTAAATAAACATGAATTAGTGAGTAATGATCTAATAATAGCGTAATATAACAACGAATAACAATAGAGAAAACATATAACACATAAAGTATTGCAAGATATGTGTTGAGAACGCAAAGATGTCTATAATTAGATTATTGCAAAAAGTAAGAGTAAAGTATTACACGGTTTACACAAAGTTTTTAAAACAACATTCATGTAAAGCGCTTCTCGACTCCTATCCCGGGATTTCAGAGAATCGATGAATAAATTTGATCCCAATTTTCAAGTTTTGATGAAATACTGACTCAGATCTCGTTTTTATTAACTTCTGTCTAATCATCGCTTTTGAATAATATAAATATTTAACATAAAATCCAGCATTGATTATATCCGCAAAGTAAGCAATAATTTGTCAAATGTTGGCCAAAATGGTTGTGTAGTCTAATAACTGTCTGATAATATTAAGTGCATTAAAATTAATTTAAATATTAACTAAACTTTAAGAGTTAACGATATTAAGAATTTCATATCAAGAATATTATTCTTCTCAAAGAGATTCTGTATTTTTCAGACAGAGATAAGACTTGACTTAAGGGGTCGTCCGATGAAAAGATATCAAAATTCAGTGCTATATCTCAA